GATTATCTTAATAAATTTGTTCTCTGTTATTTTTTCTTATATCTCCTTAATCATTGGTAGTATGTCGTTTTGTTCAGTAATATTTTACTGATCAATTCCGGTATTTTTAGTGTCATGTGATTCGACCTCCAGCTCCCCTTTTAGCGTCTTCTAATTTCAGTTCAGTTGCAATTTCGTGATTCAAGAAATATATTTTCCCCATGCCTGGCCATTCAAAAACCTATAGCAGGAAATGTAGGTAAAAACACGAGATATATTGGTTATAATATTTATTTGCGCATAATTTTCACTGTGTATATGTCTGTGTGTATGTATACACACACACACACACACACACACATATATATATATATATATATATATATATATATATATATATATATATATATATATATATATATATATATATATATATATACATAAATATATATATACACACACACACACACATATATATACATATATATATATATATATATATATATATATATATATATATATATATATATATATATATGTATGTGTATATATATATATATATATATGTATGTGTATATATATATATATATATATATATGCGCGCGCGCGCGCGTGTGTGTGTGTATGTGTGTATGTTTACGTATATGTTTATGTGTATGTATATATATGCATGTGTGTACGCATGTATGTATGTATATGTGGGTATATGTATATATACATACAGACATATGCAGCATGTATATGTAATATACCATTTAAAACATTCCTTATGTACAATATTAAATACAATAATAAAATATACAATTATGGCACATGCACCAGGTAACCGTGCAAAATAATATATCTCTATATCACAGACAAAGTTTAAAGGTAAGAATGTGTTGCACAAACTTCGTCCAAGTCAAGTGGCTGTCCTTCCAGGCTAGTGTCACCTTGGTTTTATTTTCCTCGAGTTTGTGGCAATACATTGTTCTTTCGGTGTAATATTTCAATTTGTTTCAATTTTTTCACGGAATAACTTTCAGATTATCTAAGATAATTCATCTGTCTATCTCTTACTTTTCTCTCTTTTCCATCTTTCTCTCTCTCTCTCTCTCTCTTCCTTGCTTTCTTACTTCCATGTTTCCTTGTTCGCAGTAAAAAAAAAGTCTCTAATACTAAACAATTTCTAATGTGTGTTAAAAATCACAATCCAAGCTGCTGATTTATTTGTCATCTTCATGTCCATAAAATTTTCGTAATTCGATAATCAGGCGTTTTTTCACCTCTACACCTGTTGAATTAATAATGACAATCGAATATCATAAGTTATACACGTTTGTCTCTCCTGAAAATCACTCATAAATTCACTGGCCTTTCTCGTAAAACAGAAATCATAATGTAGAACACATTATTTACAAAGACACAACCATTTGTCCATTACCCTTATAGAACCCCAAGGAGAACGTTTTTTCTGCCTGAGGAGTTTCTATCACTTTTTTAGAATGTGTATATATATATATTTTTTTTTTTTCATTATTATTATTCGTTTATATAAAAATAATACCCTTTAAGTATATACACTTCCTTCGTCAATGTTCCTCTTGGTCACCATAATGTTCAGCTCTTTAGAAAAGCCTTTTCAGTTTGTTGAAGTTTCATTCCACCTTGTCTCTCCAACTGACTGACCCCCCCAAAGCTTCTACAAGCCTGAGCCCCGACCGGCTATAAGGGTTGGGGCTTAACATCACAAATAGGTCCTGAAGCTGCACACCCGCACATGCTATTTCCCAGCATGCTCACGCCGCCTCCCATTGGTCATCCAGATCGAGGGGCGGGGCATAGCTGAAGCCCTGGAAGACGTGGTCGACCGCTTGCACGGAGGCCGACAGTCCTTGGGGCGAGGCCGGAGAGTGACCTATGACGGCCTCCTTGGTGAACATCGGGTCGACATTTCGCGTGTCCGTTTCGCTGCTCTGTTGAGAGATAGTTATTTATGAGCTTTATGAGGAGAATATGAGTTACATACACGCAAGCATAAGATGGTAAAATAACGGTGGTTAATAGGGCATTATGCATTATTTCTGTGAATTTCTCTCTCTCTCTCTCTCTCTCTCTCTCTCTCTCTCTCTCTCTCTCTCTCTCTCTCTCTCTCTCTCTCTCTCTCTCTCTCTCTCTCTCTCATCTGTCCCCAACTCACCACCGAAGGCACGAAGGGCGGCGTGATGGCTCTCTTCTCCACTTTGTCCCAGTCGATGTCCTTGAAGAAATCGTCCTTCTTGACGTCCTCTCCGTCCAAGAGTCCCGCGCCGAGCCTGTCACGCGGGTCCTTCTGAAGGAGCTGTTGGCGAAAAAGGGAGCTTGCATAAATATATTTTGCATATATTAAGGTTTGAAATACATTTTTCCTAGGAAATATAGTATGTACGTATACATAAATGTATACAAAACATACATACAACCATATCAGTCCGTCAGTTTATAAATAGATACTAATTCACATATTCATTTATATGTATGTAAGTAGACATTTCCAAGAACAGTGTCAAGCCCGGCGCACCCCTTCCAAGATGGCTCTCGCTCTCTTGCTGACTGTGGCCTTCAGTTTGAGCGGCTTGGTCAGGATGGCGCTGTACATGGCGTGCGTGTCGCGAGAGTAGAAGGGCGGGAGGCCGTACAGCATCTCGTAGAGCACGGCGCCCAACGTCCACCAGTCGACGGCGCGGGAGTACGGCTGCGGGGAGAGGGGGTGGGGGGAGGGGGGATGATTAATGATTGGTATGGGTTGGTTTAATGTTGGTAAGGACGTGGGTTCGCGGATTTTCCCTTCTCTGTTTCTTTTATAATTGTTAAATCTTCATGTCTTTCTCATTCAATTTGCCAAGCTAAATATGTAAACACAAACAGTTCAGCACAAATATGTAGCAATAACCTTTATGTCAAGTTTCGTTTCCAATTTTGTCATATTGAAATGACAAAGTTCAAATGAAAAACTTACAAGTTCGAAATAAGTTATATTACTTTACTTAAGCCTTATCTCAATAATCTCACTTTCAGTTGTATTTTCCTTCATTTCAATTTCATTGTTGATTCTAGTCTTTGTTTCTTATTTCAATCCTTTATCTTCTTCACTATATGTCTATTGCATCTTTTCCTATCCCAATTTTACATCAATTCCAATCCAGACCCACATATAAAACACGCACATCAAAAACACAAAGAACACACACACATGTACACACACACACACACACACACACACACACACACACACACACACACACACACACACACACACACACACACACACACACACACACACACACAAGCCCCCCCCCCACACACACACAAGCTCACCCCCCCCCCCACACACACACAATTACGTAAACTAAAACACACACAAAACCCCCTCCCCCCTTCCCTACACACACACCCACACACCACCCCTTCCCTAGACACACACCCACACACCTCATCCCCACCCCACCCTCCCCCACACACACAAACGCCCCACGCAACTCCGGCCTCACCTGCTTCTTCAGGATCTCCGGCGCCAGGTACTCCGGAGTCCCGCAGAAGGTCGACGTCTTGGAGGAGGAGTGCAGGAGGCCCTCCTTGCACAAGCCGAAGTCAGTGAGGACGATGTGGCCCGCCGTGTCCAACAGGATGTTTTCGGGCTTCAGGTCACGGTACACGATGCCCTGGGCGGAGAGAGGAAGCGGAGTTTAGATTTTTTTTAATGTTCATTTCTGGTTTAGTTTGCTTGTCTGCCTGTGCTTGTTTGTTTGTTTTGAGGTGTTTGTTTTGTTTATTTGTTTTGCTTATTTGTTTATTAATTCTTTCTTTCATCTATTCGTTCACAGAGCGAATTATTTATGTTGTCCATCTCTCTCTCTCTCTCTCTCTCTCTCTCTCTCTCTCTCTCTCTCTCTCTCTCTCTGTCTCTCTCTCTCTCTCTCTCTCTCTCTCTCTCTCTCTCTCTCTCTCTCCATCTTCCCCTCCCTCCCTCCCTCCACCTTCCCCTCCCCCTCCCTCCCTCCCCCTTCACTTCCCTCCCTCCCCCTCCCTCTCCCTCCCGCCTTCCCTACCCCCTCCCTCTCTCCTCCTCTCTCTCTCTCCACTCACCTTCGTATGCATGTACGTGAGAGCACAGCAGATCTCGGCGGCGTAGAATTTGGCTCTCGGCTCCATGAACACGCGTTCCCGTTGCAGGTGGAAGAACAGCTGGAATGATAAGGGTGGATTTTAGAGGCGGAATGGGAATGGAAAACTGGGAATCGGGTGGTGTGGTGGAGTGGGAATGGAAGGCTGGGGATCGGGTGGTGTGGTGGAGTGGGAATGGAAGGCTGGGAATCGGGTGGTGTGGTGGAGTGGGAATGGAAGGTTGGGAATTCAAAACTTGGAAGTGGGAGGTAAGGTGGAGTGAAGATCAAGGATTGGGAATCTGTTGGTATAGCAGCATGGGAATTAAAGATTGGGAATCGGATGGAATGGAGGAATGAGAACGTAGTTCGAACATGCATTTGTGTTGTAAATTTAAATTACTGATATTATTCTCTCTCTTTCTCCTTTTCCCCTTTCTTCCCATCCTTCTTTCCTTGTTCCCTCACAATTTATTTTTCATCATCTCTGTCCCTACTTTTCATCCCCTCTCCTTCGCGTTCCCTCTTCTTTTCTCTCTCTCCACTTCCCTCTCCCTTTATATCTTACACCCCCCCCTTTCTCCCCCTCTTCCTTACCCTCTCATTCTCTTCCCCCATCTTCTTCTTTCGTTATGCCTTTCTCCCTTTCCTCTCCCTCCTTTTCTCCCTTCCCCACCCTGTCCCTTCCCCATCCCTTTTTTTTCATTTCTCATTTCCTCCCTCTCCCTTGCCCTCCCTTTATCTCCCCCACCCCCTCCCTTCTACATCTCCCTTCTCCTCCATTTCTCTCTCCCATCCCCTCCCCTCCCTCCATTTCCCTCTTTCTCTTCCCTCCCTCTCCCTTCTCCATTTCTCCTCCCTTTCTCCTCCTCCCCCTCCCTCCCTTTCTTCTCCTTCTCC